GAAATAAAAAGATTTGAATCAGATGTGGACGAGAACCTGATTTGTCAGATCTGTTGCAAAGTGTACGACAATCCAAAGTCGTTGAGTTCTTGCGAACACACCTTCTGTTTCGGTTGTTTAGAGAAGAGTGTAATCAATGAAAATGTGTGTCCTTTGGATCAGAAGCCGATAGAGTCGTCACATATAGAGGAGGCGCCGAAAGCCATCACAGAATATCTATCATATCTGAGAATTCGGTGCGATTTCGAAGAATACGGCTGTAAAGAAGTGGTTCCTTTGCATCGACTTCTGTTGCATCGGATTAACTGCGAGTTTCATCCCGAGAGGAAAGTTAGGTGCTCTCAGTGTGAGAGCGAAATGGAAAAGTCGCGCCTCAGAGACCATAACTGTATCGCTATTTTAAAGAATAGATTGGATGTCATGAATGAACGGATGAATGAATTGAAAAATAGTTACACAAAAGAGTTATCATCGCTGAGGACTCAACTCCAACGATGGGATTACTATCGGCTGACGTACGCCAGAGAGTGCGCGGAGTCGGGCGCCGGCGAGCGGCAAGTGATCCCCTTTTCATGCGTCGGTGACACACAATCTGGTGCTCACGAAATCATATTCATTCAGACGACTCATTTGACGCTCCGATGCGAGACATCAATGCTCACCAAAATTGGACAAATCAAATACAACGCCTCGTCCATCATTAACCACAACACCACTGATTTCTCACTCTTTTACAATGGAAAACGACTCGAAGACGACAACTCTATCGCTTATTATAGTATTCACAACAGAAGTATTTGCCATTTATTGCCAAATGAAGTTTACATTAAGTTTGACTGCATTGATATCAAACAGATTTTAAGCTTTTCTGTCCGCACCTGTGATACTATTATATCGCCTATTATAGTATTCACAACAGAAGTATTTGCCATTTATTGCCAAATGAAGTTTACATTAAGTTTGACTGCATTGATATCAAACAGATTTTAAGCTTTTCTGTCCGCACCTGTGATACTATTAATGCTATTATCGGACAATTGAATCGTGAGATACAGAAAGTAATTCCCGACAAATTATTTCAATACTTGAAACAGTGTTCGTGTTGTCTATATTTCGGAGACACCAAACTTGAAGAGACCTATGAATTGTCTAATTATGATGTGTTGGCCATTCAAACACTCAAGTATTGCAATCGACTTTACATTAATGTATAGCATTTTAGACACACATATCATATAATTTGTTTTAACTGCTTAACTATAATTAACGCTAAATTTTAATCATTGTTTTATATCGTAATATCTAAACCGTAATTGTAATAAACAAATGTTTTATTGATCTAGTGATGCAACTGATCGAGACTACTGTTTCGGTTCATTAATATTTGTCACATTAATTCCTACTTTTATCAAAACTAATAATTAACCCAAAAAATACATAATAATTAAATAAAAGTTTTATTAATTAAAACAGAAATGAAATGATTGCTTGGTTTGATTTAATCGATTGATAAAATGCTTATTTGAAATATAGATTTTTATATATAAATAACATTAAATTAATGAAATAAATTTATTACAGATTTAAAATCATAGTTAAAATCATAATTAGTGTTGGTTGTGGTTGTGGTTAGTGTCGGTGCCGTCAACATAAACCCAGTCGCCATCGGCGGCCGCTTCTCTCTGTCGTTGTTTAACTTTAATGAAATCTAATTGAGTGATTAGATTGTCCTTCAGTTTCCGCAAACTCGTGTTCTCGTCTTTGAGGGCCCGGTATTCCTCTATTGAGTTTGTGGTCACGTCTGTTGACTCCAACTCTTGTTTTCGAGACGACAGAAGCGTTACTTCCATTTTCATCCGCAGAAACTCTTGTGACAGACGTTTGTGTTCTTCGAATATTTGTATGGATTCCGTGTTATTATTGTCCGGTTGTATGGGCTGTAAGTCTGACTCCAATACCAGATAGGCGTTGAAGTCTTTGGGAATCGGATTCGATGGAACAACTCTTTGATTGGTCTGCATATCACGAGACGAAGACATCGATAGTTTGGGCAAATCGTGACGACCACTGACTTGAGGTTCAGCTGTTCCGCCAAATTGGGAACTAATGGGAGGGTTAGTCTGATCGTCATTGAGACCATGGCTTGAGTGGGACTTATTGAGGGGCAGGGCTTGAGGGGAAGTGCCGAGAATCGTGACCGGCGTTCCGCTCGAATTGGACCGCTTGTGTCCGCGATATGACTGAATTTGCGATAAGTTTGAGTCCAAAACCACTTTCTCTTCGGATATCTTTCGGGGAAATTTATTTTGTTGCAAAAACTCTGAACTATAGTTCGCATTATTGATAAATCCAGACATATTGGGCGGTACACTATAAGCCGGATTGTTTTTCTGCCAAAATACAGTCAACATTGAAAATGTTATGCAATAGAATCGCGACAAACAATACATACACTTTGGTGCAAATCGTTTGGATTGACGACATTTGTGCCACTATTGAAAACCGGCGGTTCGGTTACAATCTGTTGCGGAGCGTCTAATTGGGTCTGAATTTGATCTATACTATAGTCAGATGAAAGACTGTCGTCAACCGTTGAGTACGCTATCAAATGATATTATCAATTAAAATGTGCCAAATATATCAACCAAAACAGTAATAGCAGTACCGCTTGAAGACGTATTGTGGACAATGGGTTCAATTGATTTTGGTAAGTATTGGAATACTTGTTCCACAGTCTCCTCCACGTCCTTCATGGATGGCCTCAGAGTCGGGTCTTTATCCCAACATTTGGTCATTAAATTTTCAATCACTTGCGGACATCGCTGTAATAGCGGTGGTCGTTGTCCGCTATGGACAGCCCACATGATCCGGAATGCCGGCCCTCCGATCTCATCGAATGGCTTCTTTCGGGCCAATACTTCCCATAATATGATACCCCAACTGAAGACATCACACTTTTCAGTATAGTTCCAACTTTCAAATACTTCGGGTGCCATCCAAGCGGCCGAACCCTTCATATATTAAACATTAACCATCATATCATTACATCAATCGAAAGATAGGTTACCTTATTGTTGGTCATATGAGTGTGAATATCACAAGCGGTTCCAAAGTCACATATCTTAAGTATAGTTCCGCCGCTGACTAACAGTAGACTACAATCAAAACGTTATATCAAAGCATTAAATAAATGACAAAATAATATAAACAAATGAGATGTGAATACTTGGGTGGCTTAAGGTCTCTGTGGATGAGAGCCTTGGGTTGCATTCCGTGCAGATATGAGACGCCGCGCGCGCACTGAAGAACCCATGAGATGGCGTGAGACAAACTGTAGGGCACGAGTGGCACCGAATGAAGAACTGATGGCAAAACATTACACATTAGACTCCATGTTTACAAACACATGGAAACAAGTGTCAAACCATTGTAAAGACTGCCGCCTTCCGCGTACTCCATCACCAACGATACGAAACCATTGTCTTGAGTGGCGCCGTATAGGCAGACAATGTTGGGATGCGATACGCGTGACAACTGTCTCAACTCGATCTGGAAGGCCTTCTTCTCCTGCTCTGTCTCAATGAGTTTGACGGCCACTTCGCGTCCCTTCCAGAAGCCCCTGCGGACCACTCCAAACGTGCCCTTTCCCACCACCTGTACAGCAATTATCATCAAATGGCATCAATTGGCATCAAATCACGTCCATTAGTGACAATACAATGCATACAAACCTCCGCTAATTTGATTTCCAATGAATTGATTTCGTTGGCAAAGACGGGCTCATCGATGGCATCGCATGCGTTGGTCGTCGCCATAGTATGTGTTGTTGTCGTCAAATCAATTCACACCTAAAATCTGTCCATTAATTACAACACTAGACGTCAACTGATGTCTGGATTTACGGCTAAATCGCATTCAAAACAACACTCAATATATAGTAATAGTAAACAATTGCGTCATTCAATGCATAGACAGTCAGACATAGCAATCACTGATCACTGATTCACTGATCACTCATCGCATTCACTGTACGCATTGTGTGGGCACTCGAGTCAAGTCATGTACAGTACAGTCGACGCTATGCTATTCAATGACTGCAATGAATGGTCAAAAGTATTGGCAATAAAGAGTTTGCGAACCGTTTTGTGAACTAATCTTACGATTCATTACATTTCACACAACATATCAAATGATTTGAACCCCAAAAATATATGACTAATACTCTATACTTGTTATATAACAAGCGATTAAATGAATGAATTGTTTATAAACTATCGTTCAATAAATGAGTTTTTATATGAAGTTTTGTGACAAATGTGTGAATGAATGCCATTTCCATGCATTCAATGCAAACACTGATAGAGACTGCGATTGAATGTGTAGTCAATTGTCACACATGTTATCATTTGTGAACTTTAAAACTATTAATACTTTTGATTATAAATAAATAATAATATGTATTATTATTATTATTATTACTAATATTAGTTATAATATTACAATCATTTAAATGATTGGTTATAATAATTGTAATCACAATTAATATATAATATTAGAGTTAGTGTTTAGTAGTAGTTATAAGTGATAATAAAGTGATGCGATTTGAAAGCAATGGTCGAGAGATGTGTTGAGGATTGAAGTAATGATACAATGAATGAGACAAACGGTGGACACAATCAGTCATGTCATCAGCCATGCCATCAGCCATCGCATCGTTGCTCATCACTGCCATCGGTGTCGTCGACGAGTCGGCCAACGGATCAGACGGGCACGGCTTCGGCGCCCACATCACGTCCCAAGATGGACGTGGTTTGTCTCATCGATTTGGTACCACATCCACAGCCATCTGATGGCCATATGATTGACATATTGATTGATTGACTCATTACTCGATCAGACAATAGGTTCGCCGACTTTGAGTCACCGGAAGGCGGCGTTAGAGGAGATCAAACGGGCGGCGCACGTGTGTAACGCGAATCTACATCACATTCAGTTCCAGAAACTGGACTTCGAGGAGATCTCAGTGGTGGACACGTTCTACAACGCGGATGTGGCCATCGTTGACATCTCCATTCAAGAGCAACAGAACTCACTCTTCTATCGGTTGGGAAATCGGGAGTCGTTTGGAATGAGACAAAACATACTGCTCTTCAACGACAGCGCGGCCGATGTGGTCATCCCTATTAAACTTCCCTCTTATAACTACACAATCGTCACCTATAGGTTGTCCGACGATAAGCACTGCTATGTGACCGAACCCACCGTCGCTCGACTGGTGGCCAATTCGGACGATACGGCCATTCAAAGCCCCCTCTCATCCGAAACTAAGACTCCGCTTCACATTCGGCTCAAGAAGTTATTACTTGAAGTGGAGGTCCAAACCAAGTGAGTCTCTATTCATTATATGCATAACCAAATGAGCAACTGATCCAATCATCTTTTCAATGCTTACAGCAATGCATTAAACAAATTATTTATTTACACACTTTTCAACAATTATATGAGTTATGCGTAAATAATTTGTCAGTATTTACAGCACTATAAGAATATACGATTATTAAACTCTCGTAAATTAAGTTTAGTCAACATTTGCATAAGTGTTGGCCAAATAGTAGGAGTTTTAATCAAGTGAGTTTATATGCGTGCAAAGTTGTGAGCATTAAATAATTAACATAGAGTTAAATTTGTGGTCACTTTTTGTTATTAATGAGAACTGAAGCCATTCTAAAACTTATTGCAAAACAGGAAATGCATTAAAATTATACAAAATATTATGGTTTAAGTTAAATGCAATTATGCAATAAAAGTTTTGAAGTAAATGCAATCGCTTATTATAAATTATAATAGCGACAACATTTTACACTTGCCATAATTTCCCAATAGAAGTTTTAATACTATTTAAAAACCTTACGCTATGTACCGTATTTTGAACTTTTTACCATGTTAATACTATTTGTCTGATAACATGGTTTATATTATGGTACAATTGATAATCAAAATGATCCAGCACAATCATAAACTCTATGTGAATGCGCGAATTAATAGTAATTTATTAGTGAATATGAATGCTTGACTTACCTATGGAATCCATAGTATTAAACCGCACTTAAATTCACTATAATTAACAAATAATATATAACTCACAATTTGTTTGTTTGTGAGCCGATAGTGATTTCAATTAAGATTTTATTAATAAATTATATTTGATTTTCATTTAATTAGAAAAGAAATATAACTAAATTGATAATAATGGACAGTACATGTATAGATGTATTAGAAATAATGTAACTAACCTCGTAACTATACAATAATTGTTGTAATTCTCTTATTATTAATATTGGATGTGAAGAGTTGGATCAGATTCGTTGGGTTAGTGTTACTCTCAAATGCAATACATTATAAACTGATCCAATAGTACGAGAGTACAGTATAATATGGTCTGGTTTTTGAAGCTTTCAGGAAATATTGCAACAGTCGGTGCAATGCATTAAAGAATTGAGTCATTTTATACACAATTAATTTTTATTCACTCGATTTGTAATTCACTGCAATATAAGTTATGTGGACTTAATTACCATAATATATGCCAATTATTTACTCTTCAAAACAATTAAATGTCGGAAATAATAATACTTTACCGAAGAAATAGATAAATCTTTTGTTGAGTTACGTATTGATAACGTATAAGATTTGCAATACTTTGGGACCACCCGTTGGGCTAACACTATGTCAGACATGATTTTACATTCGTTTCTTTTATGAGCCATATTTTGACGATTCTTTGATTTTTAAAGTTTTTTGTGTAAATGCTTTTCAGGACTCATATGAAGGAAAAGTTTTTATCGGATTTACGCAAAGCTCGCGAATCATTGAGTGGCGAAGCGTTGGCCACAACTTTGAAGAATATGAGGAAACGAATGGAACACGATTTGGACCCCAATCTGGTGTCGGCAGACATTGTCCACAATATGTTGATATCGTTTCGTGAGATCCAAGACTATGACGCTATGATTCAAATGATTGACGATTTGGAGTCTATACCGAACTCGGCTTTCACTTACACGCCGGCCATTCGGCACTTGTATGCCTTTGCGCTCAATCGTCGCAAACGTGTCGGCGATCGAGAGAAGGCCCTCGAAGTGGTCACCACTGCTCTACAGAAAGAGGAAAACAATTTCCCGGATATGATATGTTTGGCCGGAAGGATATATAAAGACATTTTCGTGGAGTCGTCCTATACTGACGTCGAGAGTCTCGCGAACGCAATCAATTGGTACCGAAAGGGCTTCGATGTGCAGCCCAATGAATACGCGGGCATTAATTTGGCCACTCTTTTGGTGATCAAAGGCGAAGAGTTTTCGAAATGTGTAGAATTACAACACATCGCTTCCGTTCTGAATATATTGATTGGACGAAAGGGTAGTTTGGGGTCAATCCAGGACTACTGGGATGTGGCCACTTTCTTCGAGATCAGTGTTCTCGCCGCCAACTACTCGAAGGCCATTCAAGCGGCCGAATGTATGTTTAACCTCAAACCTCCCAAATGGTACCTAAAGTCGACGGTCGGTAACATTCGACTCATCAATCACTACAAACGCAAACCAGAAGACGCTTTGTTGACACCGGAAGAAGAGATCTTCCAGTTTTGGATGGAGTACTTTATCGATGCCATCACTGATGATGTCTCGAATGTGATTCGCTTTCCGATGATTGTGTTGGAAACGGACAAAACTTTGATGCCTTCATACGTTACCGTCAATATGAATGGCGCCGACGGAAAGTCACTCCAAATAAACAACATTTGTATCAATTGTATTAAAGACAAAGACAACTGCAAACGACCGCATACTTGGCTTTTCAATGTCTCTGAAATAAGAGGCGTCAGGTATTCACTCCATATCTGATTCGTTAACTAAATGTTAATAATGTGTAAATGTGTTGAACAGTCTATTCAAAGCGGACGCGAGGTGTCTATTCCTTTACGTTCATCACAATTGCGATGATTTTCAGATGTTTTTCCCTTCAGAACAACTTCGCAAAACATTTTATGATCTCATTATTGAAATGACAGCTGACGAGGAAGGAGTTACTGATCTCGACTCTATTGCAGACACCGGACCCATTCAGGTGCCCATTGGTTAGCATTTGGTTTTATATGTATTATTAATATTGTATTTAATAGTTTGAATACGAATTAAATGAACAAAACCGTCGCGTAAGGCTAGGAAAAGGCACTTATGGCGTGGTTTTTGCCGCCAGAGATCTCCGAACACAAGTGACAATTGCTGTCAAAGAGATACCAATCAAAAACATCGGGTATTTTTCAATTTGATTAACATTAAAATTATTGCTATTTATAATGAACTGTGTTTTATAGTGAAGTACAACCGCTTCACGAAGAGATTCGCCTTCACTCACAGTTGCGCCACAAGAATATTGTCATATATTTGGGATCCGTTTGCGAAGGCGACACATTCAAGATTTTAATGGAAAGGGTTCCCGGGGGTAGTCTTTCCCAGCTATTGAGGTCTAAATGGGGTCCTCTTAAAGACAGCGAACCGACCATTTCTTTTTACACGAGACAAATACTGGAAGGTTTGAAGTATTTACACGACCAGAAGATAGTGCACCGCGACATCAAAGGCGACAACGTTTTAGTTAACACTTACACCGGAATACTCAAGATATCAGACTTCGGTACTTCCAAACGGTTGGCCGGTATTAATCCGCACACCGAGACCTTCACCGGCACTTTCCAATACATGGCACCCGAAGTCATAGATCAGGGCCAGAGAGGTTATGGCGCGCCCGCAGACATCTGGTCTCTCGGCTGCACTATTGTGGAGATGGCCACTGGAAAGACGCCATTCATTGAATTGGGTTCGGGTCAAGAGATTATATTCAAAGTTGGCTTCTACAAAGAGCACCCGCAGATTCCGTCCTCTATGTCCGAAAAGGCACAGAAATTTATCCTCCGGTGCTTTATTCCCGACCCCTTCCAGAGGGCGACCGCCAAACAACTACTCGACGATATATTTCTCGACACCGGATCCCATCGCAAGAAGAAGACAACGCCGTCTCCATCGCCGTTGACTGTGAGCCCTACGCGCGGGTCTCTCATAACGGACTTTAATCGGTCGATATCAGTGCCGATTGACCCCCAATGCAAAACCGAACGTTTCGAGGGAAGAGTCGCTCGCTTCTCGAGCACTGGTGACGACGGGTAATACAAAATTGACTATTAATTGTTCGCACGTTTTATATCGGTTTATGTATCGCATGTTTAGTGCACCCAATTTGCATCTCAATATAACTCGGCGTTGTGCCAGTCCTTACGAGTCAAGCCCTCATTCACCCGCTATGTATTCTCAGAGGTATACCTCTTGTTCTGCACCTAAAACTTAATTCAATTGTATTTATAGCTCAGAAGACGCTCCTTATGCCCGGCGCTCAAGTGGTGTTATGCTGTCTCCTCCTGTGGAAGGAGTGCCCACATTGGGTACTATAGGAGAGTCAGAACAGGAGGGCTTCTTCCTCCTTAAGAAAGACTCGCAAAGAAGGGCGACATTAGTACAGGTGATCACTGACGACGCACAGGCCATATGCGAGCTCTGGTTTCATTTGCTGCAGCAAACAGTGCAGGATTTAGTGCTCACACAAAGCCATTTGCAGCGCATACTACTGCCCGGTCTCCGGGATTTCATACCTCAGACAAAGAGAGCGCATATCGAGAAAGCGATCGCTTCTCTCAAAGAAGAGCTTGACTTCGACGGCGCGGCTATAAATCAGATTCAATTAGCGCTCCTTAGCTTTCAGGAAGCGGTGAATTTAGTGCTCAGAAACCACAGTATTAAACCCCATTGGATGTTCGCATTGGACAGTCTGATCAGGTCTGCAGTTCAGGCGGCCATTACTGTTCTCTCGCCAGAACTCGGAGAGAATATCGCCGGCGGAGAGCTTCGCGACGAAGTGGAGCCCATTGTTGACATGGATCAGGACAGGGAATCCACTTCTGGTGTCTCCACTATCAATTCAACCAAATCTGTAGTATTACGACCCCTTATCAATGTTGTCCCATCGGACGACCAATTGATCCATCAGTTGCAGCAAAAGAGCGAACAACTCAGGAGTGAAAACCTCCGTCTCTTTCAGGAATTGATTGAGACTCAGGAAACACTACAAGAGATGATTAAAAGCACACTAAATGAAACTAAAGTGCAAATTAATTTAGTTCAACAGCAACAGCAAAGTCTGCCAAACAGTCCAATGGCGAGCACCACATCTACTTTCACCTCTTCTCATAACAATAAGAATATACAGAATAGTGTGGACACGAATCGCATTCCCGACAAAGACTTGATTTCATTTCTCAAAGATTTGAAAATAGATGACGAATCCATTTGCAAAGTATTCAGTTCTTAGCATTTGTTAATCTTATTGTTAACTCTTTTGTATTTGTATTATATTTAGTTCGTTAGCGAAGATTACACTCTAAAGGAAGTCCTGTCGCTAATCACTCGTCAGGATTTAAGGCGCCTTAACCTTAAAGGAGGCGTTGAATTGAGAATATGGAGGGCTATTGAAGAGCATAAAAATCGTAAACCATTGCAATTGGATGTCATAGAAGAGGATTAACTAATATATTACATAATGATTTTGTATTATTTTAATGAGATTTACAATATTTTACTTTAACTTTGAGTGCCTTATGGTTAGAACTGTGTGGCCATCAATCATGCCTTTTATGCTCAAAATAACGGTTTTAACTCTATATTCAATTTACTGAATATCCAATTGACGTCATTTTAATTTAGATGAATAGTTTGTGATTTAGTGAAACAATTAACTTAAACAATATATTATGCATGCAATTGAAAGGGACGTAAAATTCGGTATTAATGGTATAATTGTTTAAAGAGTTGTGCGAAGAGATTGAAATCATAATGTAATCAATTATTGTGTGCAACGCTCACAACTACTTATTAATTAATATTCAATATTTTAACTTTTATCAAATCAATAACAAATTGCAGCCAAACTATGGTATTAATTTGATTCATATATAAGTTTATTAAATAGGTTTTACGAATTAGTTTATATTATTTAGAAATTAATTAACATTTAATTTGAAATTTTCATTTATAAATATATGATTTATAAGTATATGAGTGTTAAGTTTTTATTGTATTTGTTTTTAAAATTATGTTTAAATTAAATGATTTGATGTCTAAAACGAATTGAATAATAAATTTATTATTATTTCTAAATTCTATATTAATTTTTGAATTTTATAAAAATATTTGAAGTCTTTGGAAATAAAATAAAGTAATAAAAGTACACGAATGGTAATATTGGCTTCAATCCAATTATAGCTTATTCTTTGTTCCCATTTTTCTCATTCAATATATAGTTTTACATTAATGTAAAATCAAAATTAAAAGATATTCTTTGTTTTTTAAAACCATTTAATCGCTACAAATGATGTCAAAAGAATTAAAAAGTTTTAAACCATTTTTTAGACCATTTATATTAATGTTTAAGCATTTCTGGCTTTACTCCCGACAATTGACGCCAAGAGTTATTGATTTATTTTTGGACAATTACTTTCAAATTGAGAATTAATAATAATTATTATAACTAATTAAAACAATGATCGAAAGTAGGATTTGAAGTTGTTTTACATTATTATTATTTTGTTCCTAAAATACATGTAAAGACATATTATCAGAGACCAACATTAAATCAATCTTGGTTCAAATTGAGTTATAACTTATAAGTAAGTCAATTATAACATGGACATGAAAAATAATATTATAGAATTATCAAAGAATATGAGTCAAACTTTTGGACATATTATCCAATGTAAGAGAAATGAGAGATCTGTGCCTTAGTTCGCACTTTTAAAGAATTAATTTTTGGACAACTCTTCACTTAAAATTCAGCTAAACTTTGGGCAAAATCACTGTTTAAACATTTATTTTACTTATGCTAAGAGAGTAACTCAGGTTACGGTTATTAGACTGCAACTGTTAGGATTGCAATACAGACTTAGCATTGCCCAGAGGATTAGCATTAGACCCATAGACTTAACATTATCCATAGGATAACATTAGCCCCATGTTAAAGTATAGCCATAGCATGCAGTGGTAACTGTAGTAACTTTACTCGTGAATTAGAATGATATTGAAACAGGTAAATATTGTAATCAGTTATTGAGTTATTTAAACACCATTTCAAACCAGACATTACTTAATAGTTATTTTGACATTTGAAATAATAATTCATTGAATTTTAATTGCATTTTTTTTACTTTGTTTGTTTGAGACACAAATATGAGAATCAGATTATTATTGACTAATCTTTTGATTTGATTATGAATTACATTGCAGTCAATGTAAATCATAATCACTTGAAAGCAAAGATTGATTTTACATAATTGGTGTCAAGTCTGAGGAGAGTTAAAACAAAAACCAATAGCAGTAATACACGACTCTTACAAAACATATAATTATCGTAAAATGTTTATAAGAAGTTATATTTTAAGTAATTGTTAGTTTATATATCGATTTCATTATCATTTGAAGACCTTATCAAATAATATTTATTGTTATTATTTTTATTAAACTTTTTTTTTTATAAATTTTTACAAATTAAAGGATTCATTAAATAATGCTATTTATTTAAAATATTTATAAAGTTTTTTGTATAATAATTATATTTTTAAATAAATTGTTTAATAATTAAAGGTTTTGAGGGATGTTTTATGTTTGGGTCAAATGAGACATAATTACAAAGATTTTAATAGAAAATTAAATTTTATTTTAATTCTTGTCGTACAACGAGAGCTCCATTTATGTGTGTTTTCATAGCAATTAATTTGTTGCAAATTTAATAAAAATTTAAACCAATATTTTGTTCAAAGTGTGTAAACTTGAACTCAATTATTAATAATTAATTAATAATTTAGTAATATTACTCATTAGGTTTTATCCCACTATTAGTTATAAATGTATATTTTTATAATAATAAGAAAACAATTAAATCAATACAAAATATAACAAATCTTAAAAATAACATGAAAGTTAAGTTTTCAGGATTTCTTTAACTCCGTACAGAAACCGTTGGCCGGATAAAAGGCAGTTGAGTTTAAAACTCTCGGTAAAAATCAGTCTTAGAAGACAGGCCCGAAAAATCTTAGGAATGCCTCAATCAAACCTTTGAGCAAATA